AGCTCCTGGAATTATGAGTTAGAGGCAGTTGAGAGCTGCCTGACACAGGTGCTGGGAACCAACCTTTTGGGTCTTCCACAAGAGTCGGGTGCACACATATGTACTGCTGAACCACCTTCCCAGTTCAAATTGTCTTTCTTTTAAAGAAAGAATACTTTGCAAGTATAAAGCCTTCTGTGTCTCTTATCCCATGTCTGTTCCTCTTGTTGCTGGAAAGAACTGCTACACAGACTTAGATGTAGTTCATTTTCATGCATGGTTACATGTGTAAGTAGCCATAAACAGGATACTAGTGTATATAAAGGAACATTTTATTTAGGCAACAATGTGTAGTGTTTATAGCTTGCTTTTGGCACTTATTTATTCATTTTATCTGAATCTCTCTATACACACATACACACACACATAACATGAAGTTTTTTTTTTTTAAAGAGAGTTCTGATTACATTGAGGAAGTTTTACTATGACATGTTGTCACACTGAATGTGATGACAAAATTTTCCTTGAAATCCAAGACCATTAAGAAAGTATCAGGCCATGTTCCCCCTGTGGAAAGTAGAGAACTGAGAAGTGGAAGCCATATAGACTTCAGTATAGAAGTTTTAGACCTTGGGGCTCAGTAGCTAGAGTGTCCACTGCTCTATCATGAGGACCAGAGTTTGGATCCCAGTATCCATGCTGGAGGCTCACAAAGATCAACTCCAGCTCCAATGCCCTCTTCTGGCCTTTGTGTGTGCTTCTCTGTCTCTGTCTCTGTCTCTCTGTCTCTTTGTCTCTCTCCCTCTCCCTCTTTCCCCTCTCTCCTCCCATCCCTCACAACCACACACACAATTTTTAAAGTGCTCCCTTTAGATAGACCTAGCCCATTTTTGATGGATGTTCATATATACCTGTGTCCCTTGATTGCTGATCTGTTGAGTAGACTTACACGCAATATCCCAAAATACTGGAAGATATAAAGCAAATCAAAAACTCACTTAGAGAACATGTAAGATGCTGTAGTAGCCCCATCTGCTGGCACTGTAGGTCCTTTCAGTTAGCAGATACTTTGGTATATCCAGGATATTTGGTGTTGAGGTGAACTCTAGACTGGAAACCGCTATGGCAGGGTTTCTACCAGTCTTCCCTATTCATCGCTGTATGTATAGCGATGTGCTTGGCACACAGCTGATGCTCAGCACGTGCTTTCCACTAGATGAATTACATTCTTTGTTTAAAAAGATTTATTTTATTTATGTGTGTGTATTTGTGTGTGTATATGTTCACATGTGTGTAAGTATTCAGGGAGAAAAGAAGATGGTGTCAGATCCCCAGGAGATTGTGATATAGGCACCTATGAACGAGCACATGTGATAATTGTCTTTTTGTGTCTGGGTTACCTCACTCAAAATAATGTTTTCTAGCTCCATCCATTTTCCTGAAAAATTCAAGCTGTAGTTATTTTCTCTGCTGTGTAGTACTCAATTGTGTAAATGTACCACATTTTCCTTATCCATTCTTCGATCGAGGGACATTTAGGTTGTTTCCAGGTTCTGGCTATGACAAACAAAGCTGCTATGAACATAGTTGAGCACATGTCCTTGTGGCACGATTGAGCATCCTTTGGATATATACCCAAAAGTGGCATTACTGGGTCTTAAGGAAGGTTGTTTCCTAATTTTCTGAGAAATCACCACACTTACATCCAAAGGGGCTGTACCAGCTTGCATTCCCACCAACAATGCAGAAGTGTTCCCTTTTCCCCATAACCTTTCCAGCATGAGTTGTCATCAGTGTTTTTGATTTTGGCCATTCTTACAGGTGTAAGATGGAATCTCAGAGTTGTTTTGATTTGCATTTCTCTGATGACTAAGGATGTTGAACATTTACTTTAGTGTTTTTCAGCCATTTTAGATTCCTCTGTTGAGAGTTCTCTGTTTAGGTCTATACTCCATTTTTTTTTATTGGACTGTGTGATCTTTTGGTGTCCAATCTCTTGAGTTCTTTGTATATTTTGGAGATCAGACCTCTGTCTGATGTGGGGTTAGTGAAGATCTTTTCCCATTCTGTAGGCTGTCGTTTTGTCTTGTTGACCGTGTCCTTTGCTTTACAGAAGCTTTTCAGTTTCAGGAGGTCACATTTCTTAATTGTTTTTCTCAGTGTCTGTGCTACTGGGGTTATATTTAGGAAGTGGTTCCCTGTGCCAATGCATTCAAGTGAACTTCCCACTTTCTCTTCTATAAAGTTCAGTGTAGCTGGCTTTATGTTGAGGTCTTTGATCCATTTGGACTTGAGTTTTGTGCATGGTGATAGATATGGATCTATTTTCATTTTTTTACATGTTGATATCCAGCACCAACTATTAAATATACTTTCTTTTTCCATTTGATATTTTTTGCTTCTTTATCAAAGATCAGGTGTTTGATATGTGGATTGATATCCGGGTCTTCTATTCGGTTCCATTGGTCCTCCTATCTGTTCTTATGCCAATGCCAGGCTGTTTTCAGTACTGTTTCAGTAGAGTTTGAAGTCAGGGATTGTGATGCCTCCAGAAGTTCTTTTATTGTACAGGATTGTTTTGGCTATCCTGGGTTTTTTGTTTTTCCATATGATGTTGAGTACCGTTCTTTTGAGGTCTTTGAAGAATTTTACTGGGATTTTGATGGGCAGTGCGTTGAATCTGTAGATTGCTTTTGGTAAGATTGTCATTTGTGCTATGTTAATTCTGACTACCCAAGAGCATGGGAGATCTTTCCACTTCCTGGTGTCTTCTTCAATTTCTTTCTTCAAAGATTTAAAGTTCTTGTCATACAAGTCTTCCACTTGTTTGGTTAGAGTTACTCTGAGATATTTTATGTTATTTGTGGCTATTGTGAAGGGTGTTGATTCTCTGATTTCTTCCTGAGCCCTTTTATCATCTGTGTACAGGAGGGCTACTGATTTTTTTGAGTTAGTCTTGTATCCTGCTACATTATTGAAAGTGTTTATGGGTTGTAGAAGTTCCTTGATAGAATTTTTTGGATCTCTTATGTGAACTATCATATCATCAGCAAACAGTGAGAGTTTGACTTCTTCTTTTCCAATTATGTGCCAATGCGCTACTTGTGGCCTCTGGTGGCAATACGGGCCACGAACGTGCACACAATGCACATATATACATGCGGACAAACACCCATAGATATAAAACTAAAATCTCTCACATTGAAGATTTTGAGGTCAAGAAGCCATTTTATCTAGAAATATAACTTGTCAGAATGGGTACTTTTCTGAGAAAGAAGGATTGAAATTAACTTTTTTTTCCCCCCTTTCTTAAATACTTAGAGGGTTTATTTTGGTCTTTTTGTCTCTGAAGAGTTCTTGGTTATTTTGCTAAAATCAAAGACAGCCTTTCAAAAACAGTTCCCTCCCCCCAAAGAAAACCAAAACCAAAACAAATACAATACCAGGCACGGAACAAGAATATGGTCAAATATGAATGTGTATTTCCACACAGAAAACTCAAACTGTTTAGAAGACATTTTTTTTTCCACCCCAGGTTTCCATTTTTTAAAAATGCACCTAAATTTCTTTTTTTTCCCTCCAGATGCTCTTTTTAGTCTACAAGATATAGGCACAGGAGGCCTCTTCCTAAGTAGGACCCCAGTAGCACAGACAATAAGAGAAACAATGAAAAAATGGGATCTACTGAAACTGAGAAGCTTCTGTAAAGCAAAGGACACTGTCAGTAAGACAAAAAGGCTGCCTTCTGACTGGGAGAAGATCTTCACCAACCCCTCATCAGACAAAGGTCTGATCTCCAAAATATACAAAGAACTCAAGAAACTAGACACTAAAACTCTAATTAACCCAATTAAAAAATGGGGTACTGAACTGAACAGAGAATTCACAACAGATGAACTTCGAATGGCCAGAAGACACTTAAGGTCATGCTCAACCTCCTTAGCGATCAGGGAAATGCAAATCAAAACCACTTTGAGATACCATCTTACACCTGTCAGAATAGCTAAAGTCAAAAACACCAACAATAGCCTATGCTGGAGAGGATGTGGGGTGAGGGGGAAAAAATTGCATTTATTTATCTGTGTGATTGTATATGCGCTTTTATGTGCATGTATGCTTGTGTGTGCGCGCGTGTGTGTACATGCCATGCTGCACATCTGGAGGTCGGAAGACAAACTGAAAGCGTGAGTTTTCTCATCCCACCGTTCAGGTCCGGCGGCAAGCACCTTTATAGACTAGGCCGTCTCATTAGCCCTCAGATGTTCTTAAGTGGGTGGGGCTACTGCCTTGATTAGAAATTTGGAATCAGATCTATAATCAGATTGTAGCTTTCACCTATGAGCTAGGGTGATGAAGGGCAAACTCACTTAAGCTCTGAGAACCTCCATTTCTTCCACTGAAATGGAAGTAATTAATTACAGCATCTGCTTCATAGGCTTGCGAGGGGAACTAATTAAACCACAGTTCATATGTGGTGAGGTTTAAATTGCTTAGCATAGTTTTTCCCGGAAGCCTAAAATCCCACCCCCTCTCCCGCCGTGTGTGTGTGTGTGTGTGTGTGTGTGTGTGTGTGTGTGTGCGCGTGCGTGTGAGAGAGAGATGCCCATACTCTGGCACACTCCTCTCTTCCTTTAAGTCCACCCCAGGTCAGATGCATGACCGTCTCAGTGTGAGTAATCACTCCCCTGAAGCGAATTTGCAAACTGCCTCCATCTCTGTAGCTGACTGCTCAGACAAGTGGCTCCAAGTATTTGCGTCCTCTCTTTTCAGACTTGATTGGTCTTCTCAGCCTTCCCCAGGGACGAGAGGGAAGAGAAAACCAGTCTGCCACAGGGACCTTTCCATGGGTCACAGCAAGTGCTGCCAGATACATACTTGAGACTGGGATGTCGGCACTGTAAAGGGAACCCGCTGGCGTGAGGCCGTGTGTCTGTACGGAGTGCTAGTTTCTGGTGACTGTGGTAACATCATCATAGTTGGGGTTGGGCCTTGGAACAACCTTTTCTTTTTTGGCTCTGCAGTGGGTGTTAGTGGGTGAAGTGTCTCAGGAGCCTGTATTCCCTGGAGGCTCTGGGGGGAAATCCACAGTGGTCTCCTTCCTCTTCTAGTGGTGGCTGGTCCTTGGCTTATGGCACATCCTCCTGTTGCCATGTAGGCTCTTGATCGGGTTCTTTTTCTCCACCAATTACATCTCTGGGGGAAAAAAAAATCATCTCAGACACAGCAGGGAGCAATGGGTCAGATACTTTATTCCAGGTAAAGAAGGTTTTGTGTGCATACATACACTCAGAACAAAGCACATACAGAGAAAGATGCCCCAGAGGACAGAGAGGGAACCAAAATTCTAATCTCTTTGGAGGGCCCAGATCTTTAAAGTGTTTTTGGTGACATTGGACAGGTCCTCCCCCTCTGATTTTGAATTGGTCGCCTAAACAAAGAAAGAGGAGCTTCAAGTAAACGTGCTCTGGACTAGCCTAGAACACATCCGACTACCCTGGGCTAGTCTCTGGAAGGAAGGGCCATGCAGACTGGAGAAAAAGGCCTCCAGGCCTTTGTCTCAGGTCAGGAGGGTGAGGAAGAAGCTGGAACTTTGCCATCTTCTTTACCTATTTGCCCCTTTTTCCTGGCCATCTGCCTATTGGGGGCTCTGTCTAACTCTTGGTTGTCTTGTGATGTTTTGTTTGTGTTCTGACAAATAAAGCTTGCCTGGAGACCAGAGGGCGGAGCTAGTCACTAGTTAACCTTAGAGGTCAGGTAGTGATGGCACACACCCTTAATCCCAGTACTTGGGAGGAGAAAGCGAGAAGATCGGGAGTTCAAGGCCCAGTATGAAAAAGAATCAGAGATAGTTGGTGGTGGCTTACACCTTTGATCCCAGAACTTGGGATCTTATGCCTTTGATCCCAGCACTAGGGAGGTGGAGATAGGATCTCAGGCCCACTTAGTCTGAGGATTGGTAGAGACAGGATCTTACCCATTCAGTCTGAGGATTCATAGAGATAGGATTTACCTCCCCCCACCCCCATTTGGTCTGAACATTCAGAGAGGTAAGAAGTCTCTGGTGCCTGTCTGCTCTGCTCCTCTGATCTTTCAGTTTTCACCCTAATGTCTGACTCTGGGTTTTTTATTCTTACGACTAATTAGAATACTCATCACCTGGTCTGTCTATGAACCACCACGCCCTGTGACATTTTCCTTACCCAAGTTTGGCCTCCCTTCCTCCGCTGCTTTCATAGGAAACCCCTCCTTCGTGATGGTCTTTAGGCTCTTGCTGGCAACCCATGGCCATGGCTTAGCCTGGGCTCACACCTTCAGAGATCCTTTTTCCATCGAAAGCAACACATACGGACAGGTTCTAGACGTTCGATCTCTGACGGCTCCCGCCCCTCCGGCCACAATTAGTAATAGTTCTTCTCAGAAGTGGGCTGCTAGGGATGGCTTGTGTGGAGCTTGCTGCCTGCCTGCCTGCCTGCCTGCCTGCCTGGGAAGAAATTTTCTCAGCCTTCTGATGGCTACCTGAATTTAATCAGTGAGAGGGGGGAGGGGATATGAGTTGCTCCCTGCCCTGTTCCTACTGCTAATTTTCTTGATTTGTTTAATGTCAGATCATTCTCACGAAAAGGTCAACTCGTGAAATTGCTCCAGTGCACACCAAACTGACAGTTGACTCACCCCCAGCCTCCAACCTGTGTGAAACGGGCCTGGGTTTGCGGGAGGAGAACCCGAACAACATCACATTGGAACCAGACAGGAGTGCCTTTGCTCCCTTAGCTGGCCATTTGAAAATCTAAAGGGTCTGCCCAACATAGCCCGAGAACAGACTGGAGCTACAACGTGAATGTCAGGCTTTCTGTCATGTCATCAAGTCTAACAACAGTGGTTGGGAAGTGGGGTTTGTAAATACTGCTCCAGAGTGTTCCCATTTCAACAGGAAACAGATGCCAGCATCCCCATTAGTGTAGATGCTCCAAGTCATTAGAATACGACTCAAACCCGCTCCTTGGTAAAGCAAAATGCCTGTAAGAGGCCAGAGAGAGGGCAGGGCAGTGGGGTGGGATGTGGGAATCTGTACGTTCTGCATGTAGAGTCTGCAAGACCTTCATTTTGGCAACAGAGGCTTAAAAATGAAATATTTATCACCAGAGGGATATAGAAACACAATCATAATGGAACATGTGAGTCATAACACTCTTGTTCAACCAGGAAACAAAGTCACTTTGAGATAGAATAAAATCATGTCATTTGTGTCTCTTAAGAACATGATGTTCTCAGTCCGTTTGTGTCCTTGGGGTCAAAGGTGAAGTGGCTTCTCTGTTCTGAGGTGGTTGCAGGCCCTGTGACTGACTGTCCGTCCGAGGCTCCTGCTCAAAGTTCTAGTGATGCCGATGATGCTCATCGTTCACTGTACTCTCCCTGACTTGGCTTGACCTCCTGCTACCCTTGAGGGATGTATCCTTGTCTTCCTTTCATAGGTGAGGGAGCTGAGGTTTACAGAAGCTCGGCCACCTACCTAAAGTCAGTCTCAGCCGCTATGTGTCGGAGCTGAGCCGGGACCCAGAGTGCAGCTGTTAACCACTTGCCTTGTGGTCTTGTGGTCTAAGATTTACCCCCTTCTCCTCCCCACTCCTGTTACTAACTGCTCTGGCCAGTTTTGTCTGGCAGTGCCAGGGGTGGTCAGCCTCAGTAGAAAGAGCTCACACGCAGAGCTGAGCTGCATCCATAGCTTCTTAGGAAAACAGAGCCGAAGATTTTCCCTACACGTAAAGAGAATTCCAGCTTTCTTCCTTAGCAAGATGTGGTTTTCCCTTCGGATTTACTGATGCCTTCACACCTCCGTTACCCAGTATGTGCCGCAGGTGCCTGGGTCCCCAGAGCCGGTACCCATACTCTGTGTTCACTTTTTCTTTCTTCCATCAAGCATTTATGGGACCCCTCCCTACCAGGGCCCAGTTCAGGACTGGAACCAAACCAATGAAGACAGAAGGCTCTGTCCTTCGCCTTCCACCATTGATAGAGGTCATAAGAGGTATTGTCTACTTTTTAGACCAGTCAGTTCTTCACCCTCTGTTCATTGCAGGCTATTCAATATCTGCGCTGGTCCCTCACCTCCCATTGCAAGTTCCCAAGCAGACGACCATTACAAATGTCACCACACATCTCCACGTCCCTGTCCTCCAGGGGGCGCTACTGCCCCTCATTGAAAACCACAACAGGAAGTTGGGTTTTAACAGATTGTGTGTGGGTGGGTCACCGTCAGTTCTGTCTTGGGTAGGATGTGTGCTTGTCTTTACTCCAGGACTGTGTAAGAATGATTTTTTTTTTTTGGAAAGAACTGGGGCGATAGCTCAGTGCTTGCTTTAGAAGCATGAAGACCCAAGTTTAGCTCTTCAGTACCCATGTGAAAAGATAGGTATTGGGGGCTGGAGAGATGGCTCAGCAGTTTAGAGTACTCATTGACCTTCTAGAGGACCCAGTGGGCAGGAAAGGTTTGGCATTTTCTCCTCTGCTGCAGGTTTCCAGGTACTGAGTTCTTTCATTTTGTGCATTAGTTTGTAGCAGTAACACTGAAGCTTACTGATGTTTCTAGGAAGAATCTATGGGCACAAGGTAGACCAATCTGAGGACCACATCAAAGCAGCAACAGCTGTATAACCAAAACCAAAAATAATTCTGAGCGTCATACCTGGTCTCCTAAAAATACTCAAGGGAGTCAAATTCACAATCTACAACCACACTCCATAAATCCCTAAGATGACATTAAATGGTGTCCATCGGTCCATCCATTAGGTCTGCACCCACAAAGATCAAGGATATTTTTCTTCTTTTTCAGTGTGGGGTGGACTTAATGACTCTCATCTCTCCCCACAAAAATTTATATTTATGTGTGTGTATGCTCAAGTGTGCACGCACATGTGTTTGTGTGCCACACAGACCAGCAGAGGGCATCAGAGCCCCTGGAGCTGGAGTACCAGTACTTGTGAGCCTCCTAATGTAGGTGCTGGGGACCAAAGTCCAGATCTCTGTAGGAGTACAGCAAGGCTCTTAACCACCGAGCTACGTTTCCAGCGTCCGCTAAAGACTCTGTTCTAACCCTCACACACCCCTGTGGAGAGTCTGTGTGAGAAATTAGGCCTGAAGAAAATTGCCTACCTGAAGGCAATCCTAACTACAGACTTAGAAGATATTTTGGGTCATAGTAACACAACTAAAATTCTCCCAAATTCCTGACATCCAGAAGCAGAGAGATTATACTCATTGTTTTGTCTCGAGGTAGCTTGTTTTGCAGCAGTAGATGGCTGACTCAGACATCTTTCTTGATTAAGCACAGCTTCTAGCACACAGTGGAACAGTCTAGAGAAGCTTTCACCACACCATGAAACAGTCTAGAACAGCTTCCATCACACCGTGGAACAGTCTAGAAAAGCTTCCATCATATCATGGAGCAGTCTAGAACAGCTTCCATCACATCGTGGAACAGTCTAGAGCAGCTTCCATCACACTGCAGAACAGTCTAGAACAGCTTCCACCACACCGTGGAACAGTCTAGAACAGCTACCACCACACTGTGAATCAGTCTAGAATAGCTCCCACCACACTGTGGAACAGTCTAGAACAGCTCCCACCACATTGTGAATCAGTCTAGAATAGCTCCCATCACATCGTGGAACAGTCTAGAGCAGCTTCCATCACACTGCAGAACAGTCTAGAACAGCTTCCACCACACCGTGGAACAGTCTAGAACAGCTACCACCACACTGTGAATCAGTGTAGAATAGCTCCCATCACATCGTGGAACAGTCTAGAACAGCTTCCACCACACTGTGAATCAGTGTAGAATAGCTCCCATCACACCGTGGAACAGTCTAGAACAGCTTCCACCACACTGTGAATCAGTGTAGAATAGCTCCCATCACACCGTGGAACAGTCTAGAACAGCTACCACCACACTGTGAATCAGTCTAGAATAGCTCCTATCACACTGTGGAACAGTCTAGAACAGCTTCCACCACACTGTGAATCAGTGTAGAATAGCTCCCATCACACCGTGGAACAGTCTAGAACAGCTTCCACCGCACTGTGAATCAGTCTAG